TCATCAAAATTGATTAGATCTCACTTTTGTTACACAGTGTTTGTAGTTTTAGCAATCCACCACCCCTGCACTTATCACAGAACAGAGAAGATATAATTGTTATGTAGTGATCAACAATCCAAAATATTGCAAGGATTAATTATGCTTAAATCTAACAGTATCTTCAGTCATAAAATCTTACCTAAAGATTGCAGACCTTAATTAAAATTTATCCTTAGAATAATGGTTTGCCAACACAAATCTTATGGGGAAGATTGCCCTGATTTTATTTGGTGGTTGCTGCTGTTATTACTATAAACCTACTTTTCTGACAATCATGGTGGCTAATTGCAGAAAGAAAGAAAAAACAAATGCAAAACGAATTCCCAAACTAGTACAATTAAAATAAACTGTGGTTATTTTAAAAATAATAAAGCCAAAATTTAAAATAGTTTCTTCTGTCTCTCCATCTTTCTGCTTTATTTTATTAATAATTGGGATTCTTTCCTGACAGCCAGACAAGCTGTTGACCTAGTTTTGTACATAGTCACTCAGGGAACTGCATTTGTTCTGGCTCTGTGTTGCTCTTACACTTCTTCTCAATTTTGAACATCCCCTTTCAGAAATATTGCAATATGAATCGTCTCTCTCCTAGCAACATGAAAAGGAAAAATGTAGGGAGAAGAGGGGTCTGTATGTGACTTTTCTTTTCTGTACTATTTGAGCACGCAACAATGCTGTGTGCATATTTGCACACAGCTCATAATTTTGCACTCTGTTTTCCAGGCCACGAAGTTATAAATCAGCATGATCACAGCTGCCATTATGTATCTGCTCAGTGATTAAGATTCAGGGCCAGAGATTTACTGTGCAGCAATTCTAGAGAGGATATTCTTAAAAAAAAACATGCCTTAAATATAGAATTGAAATCGCACATGTATCTTTTTTGTAAGTGTTTGGCACTAAGAAAAGATCTACTTGTTTTTTCAGGCTTTGAATTAAATTTCTACTGCTTTATTTCAGGGTCTTCTCCTCCCCATTTTCACTATTTATTTTATGTTCTTTGCAAGGGTTGTACTTTTATGATTTTTCACTATATTGTGTCATTTGGGGGTCATTTTATAATGAAGAGTGTGTGACCAGTTAATTTCAATAGATCATATTGCTGCCTTGCCAACATGGGGAAAGAAGAATAACTGTTCAACTGCAGAAATCTGCTACCAGCTAAAATAATTTCTGATATAGATCTGTACAAAGAAAGAATGTCTCACATCACTTATGTGCTTAGTTTCTTTACCACTTTGGCAATCTATGAGAATTATAGATGCTGATCCTCTCCCAGCTGGTTCTTAGACACCCCCCCCCCAATTACAAGACAGTATGGATATGAAGCAAGTTTCCACAAGTGCCAGTCCCCAAATCTTAGAAAACATGTTCACATTTTTCCTGCCTTTTTTCAAAAATAAGTGAAACATATAGTATTAGTACTATCTACAAGTAGTCCTCGGTTTAACAACCATTCATATACTGACCGTTCAAATTACGACAGTGCCGAAAAAAGTGACAAGACTAATTCTTGCACTTGTAATAATTGTGGTTGGGTGATCAAAATTTGGGTACTTTTCAACCACCATGGATGACAACAGATACAGCATAAGAGGTCGTGTGATCACCATTTACAACCTTCCTAAACAGGCTTCTGACAATCAATGGGGAGAGCTGTATTTACTTAACAATCATGTGATTCACTTAACAACCATGGTGATTTGTTTAATATCAAAAAAGATAATAAAATCAGGCACAACTCATTTAAAGACCACATCGTTAGCAATGAAAGCTCTGGTCTCAATTGTGGTCATAGGGTGAGGACTATCTGTAGAAGTTTATCCTATATGTATAGGTTTCTAAATTTTTTTGCCGCACAGACTACATTCTATGCTTTCTTAGCTTAGCAGTTAACCAAAGTTTTGTAATGTGCCCTTGTGTTCTTTGTTATTAGGGAAAAAAGCTTTCAGTTCCACATACTACAGTCACATGAAGTGCTGGGATGCTATATTCACAGGATCTGCTAGAATTCCACTTTCACTTTGATGTGCTTTGCAATGCAGATCCATCACCATGATAAAGAGAAAACGTTTAAGGGCTTCCTGTAGTTTAAAACACCATCTATTCTTGCAAACATTCCCCATTGTAGCCTATTAGAAAGACAGTTTTACAAATTAGCAGACAATTTTACACAAGCTCATATGAAGTATGAATGGATCCTTTCATTTATGAATATGCTAGTAACATGTGTGTTTCTTTGTTTTTTAATTCACTGGAGGGTCTGGTGGGTTGTTTCAAATAGAAAAATGAACATTGATTGGCTAGTAGTTTACATTCAGCTATTAGCTACAATACTAAAGAATGATTGCCTGGATTCTCTGAAAGCAAGATTCACATACCATTCTGGAAATGTATGAGATCTGTAGATAGTGAAGACATGTGGAGAAAATGCAAGTGTATTTTAAAGTGTGCTGCAGAGGATGGCAAATGTAAACTGTATGTGTGGCAGATGTTACTAAATTTAATAATAGCAATTGCAGAGTCAAGTCATCACTAACCTGTCCTACAGTTGCCTATTTAGGGCTGTTTTTCAACCACACCTTTGTCAATTGCTGTCAGCCAAATCAACTTATTTTGTTAATAAAAAATTTTATACAGCTAATTCGCTTGTTTGTTTCTTGCTGAGGATGTAAAAAGACCCCAAGGTGAATCTGCTTTATTTCTGGATCTTCCACTTCTAATCATAGAAGCTCACTTTAGATAAACAGAAACAAAATAAAACAAAAAATAATTTGGAACAGTGGATGTTAGATTTCACAAATGTCATAGATCTTTTCTAGGAATTGATGACGGTACAAGTTTAATGGATTCTTTTCTGACATATTTTAAACCTGAATGGTGATGATTAACTTAGATTCCTTTTTGCCTTTGCAGTTGCTAATTTGATTTTCAATGTATTATAAATCTTCTATGAAAGGTAAGTCCAGTTGAATTTGTTAAATAGAAGAGAACAGAGCCTTAAGAGAGTAGTAGAGGCATAAATCAGTTAGATTTTAATGTGGGTCCAGCAATTATTTGCACGTTTCTTCTTTCTAACAAGGCTTGGGAAACTTCATGGACCAATTCATCACCATTCTCAATTTGCATTTTTTTAAGAATGTAATCTTCAGACGTAAGCTGTAACACCACTTTTTTTGGTTTCTTCTTCCTCCCCTATATTTTAATCAACTTATCAGATTAAGTTTGTGGGAATGTGAAGTTTTATACAGTGCTTTGTAATTGAGCTAAGTAATTCAGATTTTGCACGTTTTGTGACACAGCCCAAATAGTTACTTTTTAACGTTACTTTTTTTAATTTAGGTAACATAGAAACATATTCAATGTAGGTGACAAGAAAGAGGTAGAAGAAGCCTCGGGGTCATACTCTGCCATATTGCCAACTTCGCCAGCTTTTCTTCGCTCAGCCGCAACCCACGTGGTGGCGCTGTTGGCTTACGGAGGAAACACGCAATGAATGAAACGCTTGGCGAATCCTTTTCCCTTTTCCCCCTCCCCCGCCTTTTTGCGTTTATGGGTCCATCCCTTAAATGCACAGCCCAGAAAAGGGAAGTCCACTTCCCTATGTGATCGAGGACAAACAAGCAAGTGAATAAAGGTGTTCTTGAAAGAGACCAGGTTGCTTGCAACGTTGATCTTCGCCGGCCACGTGCGCTCCTATTTGGAATGAAAGCTGCTGGTGCGCGTAAAAGACCTCGGGGACCGAGCCATAAAGTAGTTCCTTTCTAAGAATTAAGCGTCCCTAGTGGAAAGAAATTGCTCGCCGTCCGGTTTATCAAAAAGTCAGCTATTAGCAGGCGGATTTGGTGATCTCGGAGGAATGCGCTCCGAGGGGAACTGCCAGGATGGGGAGCTTTGGCGTAAAGGAATATATTTCACCCCGAGACACAAACGCAAAAAAGGATATTTTCGAAAAGTGGTTTGTTTCTTGTTGCCATTGTCCTATTTACGAAACGTTGTCCCCTGGTTTTGGGGAGGACCTTCTAAATCGCGGAATCCCTGTGAATACCTTATTTCAGTTGGATTAGAGTCTAATCATTAGACGAATAAAAACACGGGTGGGCAGTGGATGTTTCTTACGAACGACCACCTTTAAAATCTGTTAGAATTGGCTGGACCAGACAGGAAGCTCCTTAAACATCTAAAGACGTGAAATCCTTCTCATTCCTTTCTCTAAATTTTCATTCTTCTATTAGTCGAAGCATCTTTTTTTTAATCAAGCCCTTTTCCTACAAACTGGAGCAGTTTAGTCTGCTTCAGTTCTGGTGAAAACGTTCGTACACAATGCAGGCGAAATTATCCTGCAATCTTAGTTGTCTGTAATGTATGCCATTCAAGGGGAAAAAAAATAAGGATACAATTACAATAAACCTCAATGTAATAAGCTTGCCTTTTGTTATTTTTATAAAGATTTTTTTTTCCTAATGTGGGAGGGGGTCTATTTCAATTCTGTCAAAGAAATCCATGTCGCTTCCCTGCTGGACATTTAAATCCAGGAGATCACTCAACTGGTTCAGGAACTTCAGGGGAGAATAAGAGAAAAACCGAGAGGCGTCCTCTTAATAGGAAACCCAAATGAGTTCAGTGCGATCCGCTCGCAGGTAAGTGGGCATGAGAATACGAGAAAAGAGCGTTTATTGAACCAAGCTTGGAGACAGAAAAGTACAACAGTAGACGCCTACTTGGGGAAGGAGAAAAACAGCAAAAAGGCTCAGACCGTCCGCCAGCCACTTCTGCATCTTTCGAGGAAGCTCTGAATACGAGAGGAGCCAGGAGGAGGAGCATGGAGGGCGTGGTTTTAGGAAGAGGGCGTGTCTGGGAGGGATTTTCTCTCAAGCAGTTCTTCTGACAGGCGAATGGCGTTGATGGACGGTGAGACGTCACGATTCCTCCCCCCGCCCCTTTGGCAATGTCTACAGCCTGCTGCACTCCCAATTTAAGCATTTATTCCACTGGGATAGAGGAGTCTAGAGCAGCGCTAGCACCAAAAAACCATGGCTGGGATTGTATATTTCACCGTCTTTTCGCTTCTCTTTGGGATTTGCGAGGGTGTCACCGGTTCTCGGATATATCCGGCCAATGAAGGTGAGTGAGAGAAAAAGGGTCCCGAGCCGAGACTTTCCTGTCTTTCTCGTGTGGCTTGTATGGGCAGGGAATTGGGTCGGTGCGAGGGTCTTCTGTTTTGCAACACCCGCTCCTGTGGACCAAACACTGGGCAACTTGATCAGGCAGACAACCTAAAGTTCGACCTCCCGCCTGCATAAGAAAGGACGGACAGCCGCTAGCTTAGCTCGCGGCAAACTTAGGCTGGTGGCGAAGAGCAATGGGCTGTTTCAGAAGCTTCGCCCCCTGCTAGCCCGCCCTTCGCCTGAGCTCTTCTCCGTCTGTTGGACGCTCCAGAGAAAGGCGAAAGTTTGGAGAGTGTCGTCTGGGGATGGGCAGCTTTGTGACCGTCCGGTCGGCTTGGATCGGTCGCCTTCCGCAGCCGAATTTGCCGCAGACGTGACAGCTTTGCGCGCGTCGGCAGAAACCCGCGTGGGAGCTTGACCTGGATTTCTAGACGGAGCTGTTTTCAGCCAGCCAGTCTGGTGCAAACGCGCTCTTTGGTCCATGAGAAAAAAGCCCCCTTTGCTAAATAGCCAGGGCAAGCAAGTTCCGTGGATTTGGTTAGGGTTTTAATTTATTCTAGACCGTCGCCTTAAGGTCAAAGCAGCCTTTTTCCGAAACGGGACTGAGCTTCTCTGTCTGCCCGCATTCTTCCTTTCAGCACCTTCTTTGCTGCGGCCGTGGGGCTATTTTCTTACTGATTTAACGTCTTGGAGAGGCAACGTTAAAGCAAAAGAAAGAAAACCATTCAGGGTTTGGGGTGGTTTTTTTTTCCCTTTCTTTCCAGCCTAATCTTACATAACCGCGGACGCGCGTCCCCACACATAAACGCGCGCGGCAGCGCGGGCTTCAGTCGATTGCGCGCGTCGAGGTGACTTACGTGCTACGAGGTGACACGAACCTGCTTGACAGGAAACTGGGTGGGAGGTGCGCGCGTGAAGCTATGCGCGTTCCCGCACTTTCTCCCTCTCTGTGAGATGTCCTTATTTATTTCACTCCGGCTTCGGCCGCTGGGAGTCAGATACCTGTAACTTCAGCTTGAACGTGGTTTTATGATATGAGATGCCTGGGAAATCACTTGGCGCGTAAGACAAATAGCGCCAGTGAGTTATTCAAACTTAAAAGCGAGAAAAGCTAAGGATTTTGCAGAATAATTTGCCAAGGGTTTTCCCCGTCACTCGTTATATTTTTCGGGTCTCCTTCTGCTTTGGTTTCTAGCATCTTTGTTATCAACCAGCAGTTTGATAGCTCTTCATCTGTTGATGAAAGGAAAGATCGTCTGCACACAAATAGGCTTAAGCAGAACAATGCCCCGTTGAAATAGGATAAACCCATAGGTCCTATTTTAAAACGTTGCCTTAAAACCTCATGTATGATTTATACGGAATCTGTGGTTTTGTAGACTTACTGGGGTGGGGTGAATGCTGAACAGCTGAGATTTCATTTATTTCGTCTCAGCATCTTTTAAGTTATCTGCACTGGGGAGCCATTTTTCACTCTTAACACCCCCCCCCCAACTCTTGTTTCATTTTTAACAGGAGCCTCTAGAGGTACAAAGAATGCAGTGCTGAAGCTGTTCAGATTTTGGTTTCCTTTCTTTGTTTCTTATAAAATACATGCCCCCCCCACCCCCATATAGTGCTGGAAATGTTTCCTATACAACATAGCCCACTTTTTGCTATTCCCTTATATGTGGAAATACTTTAAAAATCATTCTGCTTTTCTTGCAAGTGCCAGTAAATACCCAGAAGATGGCACGACCAACACAATATGTTGCATTTCTTGTTTATAGTGACAGTAGATTAAGTTATCTATTAAACCTGTTTCTGGATTCACTGACATTTTTCTATGAGATGTACAATTCATAAAGAGAAGTGCCAAATGATGTAAACAAGTCTTGTTACAAAGTTTGTGAAATTAACATTTTATTTCATCTTGGAAGGTCCATCTATCATGTAGCATTGTCTCAGGCAGTCATGTAATAAAGATGAATTATGAGTAGGTGCTTTCTGTACACATTCATGAGAGAAGAAATCTCAATGAGCAATATTGCACTTGCTTTTGATTAAACACATATAGGATTATATTGCACACAGCATTCAAAGACTGAGAGTGTCCTAGAACATTTTATCTTAGTTTTTTGTTTTTTTGTTTTTTAAATCCAAACCAATTCAATTTGGGTCCAAGTGTTAATCCTTATTGAAGATGACCTTTGAGACATGAATTAAGAGGTCCTAAATGCAAGTCTGTCCCATCCACAGAATCAACATGTGTCTTAGTGAGATAGTGTAAATAGGTTTGGCATCCTATTTATGTGTGCTGCAGTGAAAAAATTGTTATACCTGTATTGATTTCTCCTAAGGGATGTTGTAATAATTGCTGGGATTTGTGAATTTGAAAATGCACAGTGGATTAGAATCAAAATCTATGAAAAATGGCCTTAAGGATAAGCAGGATATATGTGAACAGGACTTGGATGGGAGAATACTAGGAAATTTTAGAACTGTAAATTAGACTGTGAAGTAAAAAAATAAAATAAAATAAGCCATAGGCAAATTATTTGATATTATTTTCAAGAAAATGTCATGGATATGTTCATGAAGTCACTAGGTATCATGCTGCATTTGAAGTAGACTTAGTTTTAGTTATAAATAGCTCAGGTCACCTTTCTTTTTTTTAAAGGATTGTTTTTCAGTGAAAAAAATTGAAAATATTTCAGTTCAGTGTTCTTATTATTATTGGTTGATTACACAGCCAGTTGTTAATATTTTTATCCACCTATTAAGTCATTCCCATGGACTTGGAATAGATAGATGTTGTTGCTTAATAATATTAAAAACCACATCAAGACAGTTCTTTACTGGGGTATTATTATTATGTTGATGATGATTGGTTGCATAGTCAGCCAGATGTTTAGATTGGATTTGGCATTTTTACTCACCTGTCAAGTATTATTATTATCATCAGATCCACAATATGGTTTTTTGTATATATGTTTTAAAATATGTATTCTAAATAGGAATGAAACATTCCTATTTATATTACCATTGGGAAAATACTTATTTTTTTGGTTAGTAGTATCTTCCTTTTCTTGTGTAGCTCATTTAATGATGCTTTTTGAAACATCATCTGAATTTCAGTACTTGGGACTTAATGTATGTTTTTCTTTTGCAGTTACCTTATTGGATTCCAGATCAGTTCAAGGTGAACTTGGTTGGATAGCAAGCCCCTTAGAGGGAGGGGTAAGTTCAGAATATTTTATCTAATCAATAAAAGTTTGAAATTATTAGTAAATTTGTAATGATACTTGATAGCCTTTTCTTCACTGATTGGCCTTTATGATGGAAATTATACTTTGTTGGTAAAACTGTATTATTTCATTATATAAACCTGGGATACCTGTCATGGAAGAATCTTAAAACAACAACAACAATAATTTTAGAAACAGGTGTCTGTTGAAGAGAGTTGAAACCAAGTCAGCAAATTTGTTAAGTCAATTCTATTTAGGGAACTGAATATATATTTGTGATTTCCAACACAAATGTAAAATATTTCTTCAAAAATCACTTATAAATACCAATTTTTAAAATAAATGAATTATTATTTTTTTCATTTTGATCAAGGACAAATCCATATCTCTTCTTATAATTTTATAACAATAATAATTTATATGAATACTGTTCTTAAGGATGTGCAAAGACTACAATTTTATTTATTTTACAGAGGAAGTGAGCAGTTAGGTTATCTTTAAACAAAGTTTCATCTAATTTTCAGATAAGGATACATTGCCCATATTGGAAAATATTCTAAAGTGTGAAGTCACAATCATTCCATCAATTTATCTCCTGATCAATAGAAAGATGAATGTTCAATATTGCTTTTAAAAATGTTAATATTTAGCTGTAAATATTCATGTTAATATTTAGCTGTAAATATTCTTTTTGTTTGTCAAATATCTACTTTTTTGTACAATGATAAGAGCATTGTACAAGCAGAACAAGAGTTTGGTCATCTATTAGTGAATGAAACAAGACATTTGTAGATCTGGATACAGAGAGAAACTAAAATCATAACTTAGTTATATGCAATATAATAAAGAAACTTTAAATAAATAGCATGTGGCTTGATATGATAGTTCCAAGAAACTCAAGAGTATTTCTTACTGGATTTAATGGATAACCATTAATACTATACATAACATAGGATCATATATTTTATTAAATAATGAAATACAGCTTTCCTTTTGCTACATAAGCAGGGCTAAAAGGAGAACTGTTTCAAGAGTAAAACTACAAGATGCATGGTATTCCCAATGACCACAAAGCTCTTTAAAATTAAGCAGACATCTCACCTTAACTGTATAAAGGCAAGCTATTCATATCAACTGAAGGTAAAGCAGAAGTTTTCAAACACCATCAAATATATAATAACCATAGATGCAGTTCTTGTTACTAAAATACATTATTCTTTAACATTTCTTGTACATTTGTGTTTGTGTGCTTGCATGCAACTCTCTCTCTATGAAAGAAAGGAATGTGAGGTTATTTATTTAGAGATGCATTATGCATAAACTTTGAAATAGCCCTTTGATGGGAAAATAGTCAATTGTCCAATCCCCATTGTTGCTATGCCTGAACTTGACTGCAGCCAAGTTGTGGTCTGCCTCTGCTTTTCCTGGAACCCCTCCTCCTTTTCTTCAGGCAGGAGAAAATGATTGGCAAGCTACTGGGTGTAGGCAGCATATATTCACTGCTGATTGCAGCCAATTGCCCTCATCTTTTGACAGTGGGAAAGCTACAGCTTTATCTCAGTAAGAGTCAGGAATTCTAGTTAATGCCATACCCTGAAAAAGTTAATAAATTAGCCTATCTTTTTCTTTGATAGCTTTAAATATTTTAATTTTGAATGAAAATAACTTCAGCCATCTAAAAATGCTGAAGAAAATTAGTTATTCTCTATTAATATTATTTTTTTCTAAAAACAATGGGAGAAGTGTTTTTATGATAATATACGATTAATTATATTAAAACGTATACATGACAATGATAAAAAGAAGCATAAAGAAAGCTAGTCGGCTTTCAAATCTGCCTGTAGGAAAGCTGGAAAAAATAGTTTCCTATCCTTCAGGTTTCATTCAGAGCTGTTTCATTCAAATTTTTCAAAAATATCCAAGATATTATTTAAAGATAAACCCTGTTTCCTCTTATATTTTATGGTGCTTTCTGTATGATGCAGAATCCCATGTTACCATTTAAGAAGTGGTTATTTCTGAAATGTGAAATATTTTATACATTAATAAGAGAGATTGGAGATGAAAATAGGTCATTTACCCAAATGAATATGCCTAGGACTGAGTCCATGGCAATCCTTGAAGAACAATGTATACCCTATACATTTAATTAATGGTTTATTTTTAAAATTTGAGTTAAAAGAAACTGTTGGTCTGGAATCCTTTATCCTGGATTATTAAAACATAGGAAGTCTGTTTGACAAAACTGAAGAGGTGGACACATTTAATCTTTGACCACACACTTTATCAAACAATAATTTATTTATCTGGAAATTTGCAGATTTATTATGTTTGGCTTTTTACTCATATAAATATTAAATGAAAAGTGCAATTCTGTTGAGGAAGAGAAGAAGTCATGACCAAATCCTATGAGGAATTTTTCAGCAAAGGGCCTGTGTTCTTTTCACAGAATTCAATAGGCTTTGGACCAGCCTTATAATTTGACTTGTCTTTTGTGTAAACATGCAAAAGGAAATCCCATTGACCATTTTTATTCCTTCTTCTTTTTTGTCCCTGCCCTCCCATAGTATAGGGTATTGGTTCATAAAGGGCAGAATTGTAACACAATGCTCATTTCATGGCAGCTGTAAATTAAAGAACTTTGTTGCTCACTTTGTGTGCTAGCATTTTACATTGATAGATGGCTTTGCAGTTTCCCCTATTATCCGTGACATAGTTTGACTTGGTGGATATTCTCTCTCTCTCTCTCTCTCTCTCTCTCTCTCTCTCTCTCTCCCTTTTCTTGAATTCTCAAGTATCTCTAGACAATAACTCAAATATTATCATCTTGACTCTTGGGGGTTAGCTGCCACAGCTCTATAAATAAATTTTAGTTATCCAGCATTGTATTTAAACTCAAGAGCATTTAATGGTTATGAACTTTAATGACTGTGAACACAATACAAAGAAGAGTAGCTTCGATCTTATAATATCCACCAGCACAAGCATATTTATTTTGCTCACTGATGAAGCCTCTGAAAACTATTTTATGATGCTATTCTATTGTTTTGGGTTCATGTGCTTCATTGAAAAAGGTTGGATTTAGTTAAATTTTGTATAAGTGAGGGGGAAAAGCATGTTTTCCTCTGTCATTGATCCTGAATTCAGCAAAACCAAAATCAATGTATTTATTTATTTTGCAAGCAGTACTTTTCTTATCCTATTACTAATATAATAACATTTTAAAGCTCTTTTTGACTGATACTATTCTTTTCTCTCACTCCCTTTTTAAAAAATATTTTATTCGTTTTCCATTTTTACAAATCACAAGTGCTTAGTAAACAACATGTTGTCTGGGTCCATTTGCCTTACTTACTCTCACTCTTACTGAACCTCTGTAAACAAAATAAAATCAAACTCTTCAGAATAATTTTTTGTGTGGTTGAGTGCACAGGTTTGTGTAGATGTATGTCTATACTAACTACCCAAATGTTAAAGAGAAAGATTAATTATTACAATCACCAGTGATAAAACTGTGGTGTCATTATTCCTATTTGAGTTCTTCAGGAACACAGACTGTCTTGGCTCGAAAACTATCTGTCTGTCTGAAGACAGATTGTTTTGAAATACATCAAGATGTGCACCGTAAAAATTAAAGCTTTTTAGCATTGAAGCTATTTATTTTATTATAATGTACATGTGCAGTATAATCCTTCTGAGCTGAAGAACTGAATCTTAATCTTTGTTGAGGATTAAAAATATTCTTCCATGATCCAGTATCACTTCCATATATTTAATAGTCTGGAACTTGCATTTTAGCTAATTTATAGCTTGTGTGGGTAATAGAACTGAAGATGTTGGAGTAAATGAGAAAGACTAATCCTGAACAAAAAACAAAAAAAAAATATTGCACAATGGAAGTTGATTTTTTTAAGTGAAAGTTCTGTTTTATAAACTTTGTAGTCCATTAAAACAAACACATATATATCTCACATAGAGATATTAATAGTGGCCTGTATTTCAGGATTTTGATATGAATTACTCAGATAATAACAACATTTCCTATAGTGAAATAGATAATCCATCTAGTTCAGTTTCTTCTATATTGAGTGGCAGAAGCCCTCCAGAATTTCAAACAAATTTCTTTCCCAGAATTACTTAGAGATAGTGGTAATTGAACCTGACACCTGTTGTGTTCTGTTACTCGGCTATGATATATGCAAATCTCTTTAAAGATACCCATAAATTTTATCTTTCTCACACAATATGTATAGGGTATGTTGTGTGAATGTAGGGATTGATCACACTAGGCATCTTCTAGCTTCACACTGAATACTGATTTAGATATGACAGGAGGAGATTTTTCTGCTTACTGTTGATTATATTTAATTGTTATTTGGGATTCTAATAATATTGTTTTAGTATTGTTTTGTGTTATACATTTGGTATGTGAATGTGAAGGCATAATATCAGAATAATCAGAATAATTGATGATTAGAAGTGATTAGTTCTTATTTCTGCTCTGTTTCTGATGGATATCTGTGGTCAAGTTCCATATCTTCTCTTTCTTTTTTGCTATATAAACAGAACATCTGTTCAACTGATACAGCTGTTTTATTTTAATGCAGCTCTTATTAGCAGTCTGAACCATTCAAATCATGCTATCTGGCAAATAGAATGTATGCTGGCAGATTGATCATTGACTTTCTATTAAACTAAAAAATTCTAACTCCCCTACTCCCTTAAACTATACAGCTTTTAAAAGCTAATTTCCTCTTGAATATTGTTTTAGTTAATACAGATATATGAGGCATCCTTGATAGTTTGCATTAATGGCTGTTGTATAAAAACCAATGAAACCAGTATAGAAATAATTTTTTCTGGTGAAGGTTTGATTGTATATTTTAAATGATTTTATTTATGTCTATCTGTCTGATTATTCACAGTGGGAGGAAGTCAGCATTATGGATGAGAAAAATACACCAATCCGCACTTATCAAGTCTGCAACGTCATGGAACCAAGTCAGAACAACTGGTTACGGACTGATTGGATTCCCCGTGAAGGGGCTCAAAGGGTTTATATTGAAATCAAGTTCACACTAAGAGACTGCAACAGCCTGCCAGGTGTTATGGGAACTTGCAAGGAGACTTTTAACCTGTACTATTATGAATCAAGCAATGACAAGGAGCGTTTTATTCGAGAAAGTCAGTTTGGTAAGATTGACACCATTGCTGCTGATGAGAGTTTTACTCAGGTAGACATTGGCGACAGGATTATGAAATTAAATACAGAGATACGTGATGTGGGTCCATTGAGCAAGAAGGGATTTTATCTGGCATTCCAGGATGTAGGTGCTTGCATAGCCCTGGTGTCTGTTCGTGTCTTCTACAAGAAGTGTCCCCTGACAGTACGTAATCTGGCTCAGTTTCCAGACACAATCACAGGAGCTGATACATCTTCTTTGGTCGAGGTTCGTGGTTCATGTGTCAACAACTCAGAAGAGAAGGATGTGCCAAAAATGTACTGTGGGGCAGATGGTGAATGGCTGGTACCCATTGGCAACTGCCTATGCAATGCTGGGTATGAAGAGCATAATGGAGAATGTCAAGGTAGGCCTTGTTGCATTATACTGTTCATTAAAGGATGGTGTATGTAATTGAATCAGAAAGGAGGCTAAATTGAAGAAAGCTAGTAATTAGCAATCCCTGTGGGGATGCAGTGGGACAGCATGGTCTAATGAGGAAATTCAGTACTGTAGTTCCAGGAGGCAGAGCTAAAGGATATATAATTCTGAAAGAACAAAGGAATTACCATAAGATGTGTATTATTATTATTATTATTAATAATAATAATCTAGAAATTTTTGTTTTTACTTTCATGATAGAAAATAAAGCTTTGATTTGAAAATTCTTCTTAGTCTATTTCAAAATAACTCTACTGTCTCACTTGAGAATTCTTCTAATAAGTAATCCTTGAATGGATGACATGACTGCTTTAGTGACATATTTTTATTTCTCAAAAAGTCTCCATTGTTTCATTTACAAAAGAACTTGCTAGGAGACTGGCCAGAAATGCAAAAGTCATCTGTTTTTCCCCTCCTTTTCCTATCCTCCACAGAATTAGGGATTAACGTTCATATAAAAGGCAGCTTATTTTAAAGGAAAGGAAAGAAAAAGAACTTAAATCTTCTTTGTGATTCTCTTGATTTTTAGTTATACATTATTATGATTTTATAAGTAGACTATAACCGATTATGGACTTGATTATTCCTGTAAGCCACCTGTTCAAGACAAATCTCTAATAAATTCTTTTTTTCAAAATAATAGCTTCATTTATTTTTAAAGTAATAAGATTTAGGGTACTGTGTTTGAAGTATTTTAATTGCATTTTGCTAAAAAAAAATCCCTTTTTTAGTTAGTGTGAACAAAACAAACATCACACTATTTTATTTTATAAAATTAATATACCATAGCAGTTTCATCCCACATCTAAAATAGATTCATATGATCAATTTATAGGCAATTTGAAATTAATTATTACTTGAGATAAACAATTTTTCTAAACATTTTCCTTTACCATCATGTATTAATCAGATATTTCTATGCTTATTGAAAAAGAATTGAACATAACTGCTTGACACTATAATTATGAGCTGTTGGAGTGAGAACTGAAATGTGGCTAGTATAATGACAGGGCAACATCACAAAAGCAAGTAATTCTCTCTCTCTGGAAAAGAACAGGAACATTCAAAATGTTTGGATGCCTGGTACAAATAAATTGTTGCCAATATACAGATATCATACTTGAAGTGATCACATTATGAGACAATTAATATGTAGAAAAATATTTCTGTTTTTATTAGTTTCTGTATTTCTTTGAATTTAATTTTATAGAATTTGGTTATGAGGAAACAGATGGATAAAATTAGAATATTGGCTATTAGATTTCCCCAAAGGAGGTGCTGAGGCAATATTGGCTCACCCTGATTGATGCAAAACTAAAACACTCCTTAGTCAGTGACCCACACTTTATTATTTAATCAGCTGACAAAGGAAGCCTTGTTTTTGGAAGTTTGGAAAACAAAAAAAATACTTTCTTATAAAAATATTTTAAAAAATGGGAAAATAACCTAGTAAATACATTTCATTATCTTTTTTAAAAACAACAACAACTTATACACATACTTTACAGGACTATTCCCCCCCCCCCAATAAGTAAATATCAAATCCAATTCTGTATTTTGTTTTGAGTCTCTGTCAGGTTAATACCAGTTCATTAAAGTTCCTTGAAGTGAATGTAAACCAATAAACAACACAATTTTATCTCCCAATTCCATGATAATATATGCCTGTTTGTGAATACATTTCCTGAACTCCAAATTTTAGTAGTTCTGAATAATGACATTGATTCTGAATCCAGAGCGTTTTCTTGTAAGTATGCCACAAAGTTAGGAATTAAATATCCTCACATTTTCTTACTTTACCTAACATTATAAATCAGCTACTCTACTGTCCTTCTAACTCTTGGGTAAAAATCATATAGATGTGTTATTATGAAATTGGAAGACAGACATAAGGGAAGATAAACTTATTAGATCTACAATATTTGTTAACTGTCTACTCAAACTCTTTTTCAGTGTTGAAACTTGGCAATATAAATGCAAGAGAAGGTCATAGGTCATTCACTTCCTCATCCATCTTCCTCCTGTGATCCTTAGGTCAGAATTAAGATTGATTAAGATCTTAAAACCTGAACAAAGGTTTAATGGACATACGATAAGGCAGAAGGTGCTTCTATTATTTGAAGCTATAATAATATTCATCTATTGAAAAATTTAGAACATTGGAGACCAAACTACATGTGTTTATGTGTATATATATATATACACATACACACACACACACTCACTCACACACACACACACACACACAGAGAGAGAGAGAGAGAGAGAGACATAATATCTATATTTATATATATATAATGGTAGTGATAACAAAGAACGCTTAGTAGAAAATAGAGATTATATTTACCTGATGGTATCTGCATTTCTTCCTCATAGCTCCAAGTTCATTCAGCGTCTTCATCTTGAATATTATTCTCTGAAATGAAAGTCTTTTGTTACTCATTTTTCTCTACAATATAATTCCTAGATTTTGTACACATACTGTTTTATATACTTCACCTATTTTTACAACTATTTTTGTGCTGGCTGAATTTCTCGTTTCAAATTGAAGAAAGGGGAAAAATGCATTGATTTACAAACCTTTTGGGGCAAAAAATATGAATGGGAAATATATTCCTGAAACATGAAATTGCCTTTGAAGTCTATTGCAAGGTGAAAATAATTACTATTTTAAGATAAAGTTCAGCTTGTAGGTGATTTTCCCTTTATAGAATTTATCATTGACATTTAAATTATTTTATTATACAGACTAAGAAGAAATCAGTAAACTGAACTAATTTCCTTATTAAAATGAAGAAATGCAAGGGAAACATAGGAAAGGCAATGAATACATTAAACAAGTAGGAAGATGCTAACTCTCTGAAATTGTTGTCATGCTCTGTGTGAAACTAAAAGTAGCACTTGTTCTTTAATAATTATACACCATAAAAATCCAGGTATACACACACAAACACACACACACATATATATGTATATATATATATATACACATATATGTATGTATGTTTCAATAATTTAGTATTTCACAGTGCTAAATACATTCTTAATTTTATATATTATATATAAATATATATATCAAATTTTTTAGAAGTGTTGAAGTATGGTTTTGAGATATCTTCTCTTTTTGCTACTTTTGGATTTTTCCTTTTGTCTTTAATTATGGGATATTTAAGATTCAATTACTTGAATCATATAAAGCACTTACCTTTGTGATTTTAAATACTTGAAATAATATAACTGGAGAGTGGATTTTGTTATTATTACTATATTTTCTTTTTTCATTACATTTTTAAATAAGAACACCTATTTTGTTTGCATCTAGCAATCATAAATATAATCTCACGGCTTCAGTGTTGTAGGAATCTGGCTTTGTTTTTTTTTGACATCCATGACTTTTGATCATGCAACTTCACAGATCAACCTCTGGATGTATCCAGAAAAAAAGTACATTTCCATTTATAAATTAGATATTTTCAAGTATTCAGAGCCTTTCAATGTATTTTCATATCTGTTCTTTTAAAATTAGTAAGGCTTCCTATTGAATTGACAATGAGATTGTATTGTAAAATAGTGTCAGATACAGGGAGGTTTGTATAGAGAGGGAAGTCGTGGTTTTTAAAATTTGCAAACTAATTAATTATAAATAAATTGTGACATACATAATATAGTTCATTTGTTCAATTTTCCCCTTCCTCTTCCCTCATGTTGACTACCGAAATAATTGTAGTTTATTTTCCTTCCTCGTTTAATATGTGTAGCAAATTGTGGCTAGCCTTATCAGGTTTGTATGAATTAAATGTGAAATGTTTATGGTTTACTTATAAAAGTAAAATATTCATTCTAATTTGTGAGCTTGGCAAGATTCTGAGAAATATAGCCTGGCAGTTGCCGGGTTATTTATCTGTATTTAATAGCATGGTCCAGTGATCTCAGATTTTTATTGTAGTTGCAATAATATGTGAGAAAGGAAGATTTCAAGCTATCTCTTATAGCTTTTGAATCCCTCTGTCTTTTATCCTTTCTTTGCTCGACTTTTAACGTGAGATCAAATTCTCCTCTCATTCTGTCTGATTATTTCGTTCTTTTGATATATTTTCTGGGAGCAGGTGAGGTTACATAGCTTCATGAGCTGGAAATAATTAACACTTCCATGACTAAATGGTCACTTTATGAATATTCAGGATCAGTTTCTCCTACCCTGGGAAGCAAACATATTTGTTCCATTCTCATTACTCCCACTGGAAGCCAAGGAAGTTTCCCCTTTGAATGGAAGAGTGTCAGCTGTCTGGCCAGTTTGCTTTCTGCATGCAGCAGATTCCTCATTTGCATATCTTGTATACATCCTCATGCAAAATAGTCCCACCCGTTTCCCACTTTCACAAAGGAGATAAGAGCTTCCTTTGGAAAGAGTGAAGGAGAAGCTCCTTCTGTCTATTATGTAGATGCTGAAGACTTGGGTTTCATGCAAATGAACTCCATTTGGGTTTAAAGTTCTTTGTTTAAGAGATAGGGATGCGATATTTGCACAGTATTTCTCTTTACAGCTCAGGCCTTCAACTGTAAGAGTGTGCTTTCATTGTTATCACATATATGTAAAATAGGTCTGGGATATCTTTGTGGGGGAAAAGTGCTAACAATATACTGTATAGAATGGCTGGGTTATGAAGTGAAGCATTTGCACCTTAGGTGGGATCTTTCCCCTGGGTTTCCAAGGTTGGAAAATTAAAGTAACAGCCTGGGTTAAAGAGGGTGGGTGAGGTAATATATTATTGCACAGTTAATATGAAATGGTGATGCGCTGAACAGACGGTTTTCTGTTGTGCTGACTTTAGCAGTCATAAATTTAATATGAATCAACTCAAATAAAATTGTACATGGCTCGTAAGAGAAAAAGCTGTGATTATTTAAGAAAAAATACAATAAAAA